GAAAATGATAAGTTGATATCTTATTCTGAAACTATGGCTAATACTGAAAGCTCTCTTAATTATTCTAAAAACTCATATTGAGATTATCGCTCATAGCAGATACTAAAAACTGTGTGATTTTGAACATTCTAAAACTGATTTTGATATTAATAACAGAAAACTCTCACCACAACTAGTACCCTCAGGGAAATCTGTCTTACCTGGTGGGCGTCCCGCACGCAGGCAAAGCAAGGGATGTACCTGTCATACCTGGCAAGGTCTATCATCGCGCGGGCAGAGCCATTGAAACTGTCATACCTGGCGGACCACTCAACGCCCAGGCAAAGCCAATAAAATCTGTCATACGCATGTGCAGAGCCAAAATCTGAAACTGTCATACCCGACGAGATCCTGCATCTCTCAGGCAGAGCCAAAAATCTGTATCCTTGGGGAACGGGTACTTTGCAGGGTGGTTTGTAAGGCATTACTATACTTATTCTTAACCCAATACATTATATTTCTTCAAAACATAGGCCTTTATAAAATTATTAAAACATTATGAAATAATTTATGGTAGTGTATTCTGGGCTAAAATGTAAGTAAAGACAAGTAATGAAGTAAACATGAGGGAGTCGAAAGAAACTTTACACAATTATTAAACAAATCTACAATTCACATGACAGGCACTTCCACAAAACTCGATGCATCATAGTTTCAAATACACCCTCAATACTCTTAAGCTTAACACTTAAACCCTGACAAAATTGTAACATGTAATTATTAATTAAGGTTTGCACTCCATGTGAGTCTCATAGACATGAAAAGCACTGGCTTGCATTTAATGCTTCAGACTCAATGCAACACTCCAAAAAGAATACCAATTTTCTATAGCCGTAAAATTTGACTACTTGAACTTGTAGAAAATTATTAAATTATTCAGTTTTCTATTGAACCCCATTTGTTCTCAAACTTTCAAAGCATCCCAACTTTACAAATATTTTCAGATCATGACTCCCAGTCCACTCTCACACGTTCATCCTGCTAAGTAATTATTGTAAGACAATTTCTTTAAAGTAAAAGAAATTTAGAACTTTGTCTCATATGAAAAAAAAATCTAATAAAAACATCATCTCACTATTTTATATTAACGTTCAAACAATTTTTAGAAAAGGGAATAATATGTTAATGGAAATATTCAATGCAACCTTTTTCAACTATTTGACCGAATATCAAACAAAGCAATTAATAAATTGTTTATAACCTTTTTATCATTAACACCCAATTTAATTAAATCCAAAACCCAAGTCCTATATCAATCAATTAACACTACATATAACATGTCAAACTCTAATTTGATCACATATGCAGATAATATAATCAAAATATATATATCGAGGAGTAATGAATTACATTATGCATGCGAAAATGTGCATCTCATGAAAATAAAAAGGGGCCACCGAATATTTAAAATGCAGTACTCAAGATACAATTTCCACTCAAATTGCCTTAAATTAGAGAATTTGAAAACACAAAACAACTTATTTACTCAACAACATTCCAGCCACAATCACATGCATAAATCGACCAAAAATGCAGCCATAAACACATATGAATCTAGCCACCATTACATGAATAAATTGGCCAAAAATGCAGTCCACAAAACCCATGTAATCCCAGCCTCCATTTGCTTTAATCGGCCAAAAATGCAGCCAACAAACATCACAATTGGAAACCCAAATAAATCATGAATAGAAGCCACATGCAGCAAAAGAAACCACCTCCATTTCATGTTCACTTTGCCTACTTCTTTTTATGCATTCGGTCATAGTAAAGCAACCCCATAACCATACATTTTCACAAATATACCCAGCCAAACACCATATAGCAAATTTTAAACTCAAATTCAACATGCAGCAGCATAAACTAGCAAAATTTCATGCTTACAAAAAGATCCCAACAACCAAACACAACCAACACCTCTTACAAGCATTTTCACCATCATTTAATTCCATGTGAACAGTATATAAACATACATGTAGCATGCAGCATGTAATCACATACTTTAGAACCAAATCTAGTGCAAAATCATCCAGCAATTAATTCAGCTGAAACATGCAAAGTGGGATTTAGCAAATATCACCATTAACTAACAATTTTTGCCCCAAACATTTTAATAGAAATTCATCACTTGACATGCAAATGAAATTGAGTTTTTAAAACAAGTATTTGGAAATCCACTCACCATTCACCTCAACCAAACTTCCAGCAAGCTTCAAACATTTTTTTCTCCTCCGATCCCGAGCCTAGATCTGGGTTAATCTTGCTCGGTTTTTGCTCTCCTCCACCGATTCCAGATCACTCTCACTCCTCTCGGTTGAACCTCACACTCTCTTCTCTTTTTTTTTTTTTTTTCTTTTCTCTCTTCTTCCTCTCCGTGTTTCTTCTCTTCTCCTTTTTTCTTTTCTTCTTTTTCCTCTCACAGTCTTCTTCTTCCTTCATCCGAGGGAAAATCAGCCTCCCCTTTTTTTTATTTTTTATTTTTTTTAATCTTCCTAGAATTATGCTTCTGCCCCTAGATTACAGATAATCCCGCTAAACCCCTGCCACATCAGCTTTCCCCGCCAAAAAACCTCCAGATTTTGCCCCTTGTTCATGCAAACCTAGCAGCTTCCTTTTCTTGCAATTTCATTCCCAATAAAACTTTTAAAAACTAACAAAAATCCCCTTCCATAAAAATAAAATCACAAAGAATATGTAATATATATTAGGATTAAAAAAACGGGGTTTCACATATATAGTCTTACAACAGTTTACTGAACAGTTATTGCAAAACTAGGCTTAAGCATCATTTAATCAAGTGGGAATTATTAGTATATAATTAAATATGCATGAGTTCATGCAAGAAACAAAGTGTTAAAGGTTTATAACAAATATGATAAACCTTATACACTTTGGCCTAAGAGATATGTCTCATATAAGAGACATTACTCTTAGGGTGCGTTTAGTTCAGGGAATGTTGTATTACTGGAAAGATAGATTACCAAGGAATCTTTAGAGAAATATATTTGGTTGGTTGGAATAAATTGGTGGGTATGTTACAATAATATGTTTGGTTGAGAGAATAAATGAGTGGGTATATTATATAGATTACTAAATTGCCCTCCTTTTTAAATAATAATATAATATTATTATTCTATTATTTTTTAAATTATTTTTTTAACCCCCTATATTTGAAATTTTGCTAAAACACCCTAGCCATATAAATCTTTAATTTGTACCAAAATCAACCCCACCCACCCCAAGCCATTGCCGACAGCCAGCCACCATCGCCGGCAACCGTCGTAATGGTGCATGATCGACCGGATCTGGCTGGTCGTGCACCAGTAAGGCCTAATCCGACATGGCTAGATCTGGCCGTAAATATGGCCGTTTCACGACCAAAGATGTGGTCGTGAAACAACGGCCATTTCATAGCCAAGATTTTCCCTTTTCACAGCCAGATCTATGGCGTTTCATGGCCACATCTTTGGCCATGAAACGGCCAGATCTTCATGGCCATGGATCATAAATCCATGGCCGGAAACGTCCTTACCGACACACGAATGACAAGATCCCGTCGGTCTTGCCCCTATATGACAACTTTCGTTGGCGGCCAGCGGTGGTGGCTAGCGGCTGACGGTGGTCTTGGGTAACTGGGGGTATTTTGTTAACTTTTAAACTTTTTTATAGCTGGGGTGTTTTAGCTATATTTCAAATGTAGGGGGTATGGGCTAATTGTTATTTGCTAGACATATGAGGGCAAATGTGTCCTAAATGATAAAAGATTAAGGGCAAAATAGGGTCAAAATTAAGATTACCTCGGTAATCTTATATTAACACCCCTTAGGAAGATAATTTGATTACCTCTAATATTACCAACAGTAAATACTATTTGCAATAAAAGATTACATAATATTTTATTACTTGACAAATAAATGAGGGAATCTTGAAAATTAAATAAAGATTACAGGATTAATCTTATATCACCCCGAACCAAATGCAACTTTAGGACAAGATAATTTAACTATTAAATAACTTCTAGACAATTATTAGAAGTTATATAATAGTTATTTATCTTGAGAAAACACACAATTTTTATTCATGGTCTATAAATAAGACCCTAAATAAACTCTGGAGATTCACTTTGTTATTCACATATAGAAAATCGTTACTAAGTATTGTATAAGTATTTGAGTAATTTGAGTGTTTCTAGGATCNTTTTTTTTATATTTTTAATCTTTCTAGAATTATGCTTCTGCCCCTAGATTACAGATAATTCCGGTAAACCCCTACCACATCAGCTTTTCTTTTAAAAAACCTCCAGATTTTGTCCCTTTTTACATGCAAACCCAGCAGCTTCCTTTTCTTGCAATTTCATTCCCAATAAACTTTTAAAAACTAACAGAAATCCCCTTCCATAAAAATAAAATCACAAAGAATATGTAATATATATTAGGATTAAAAAAAACGAGGTTTCACATAAATGATTGTTAAGCTCTGATAGTTGCAAATCTATTATCGCATAGAGCAACTCGACATGATAATGAAATAAATTTGTCATCTCTTGAACATTACGCCGCGATCTCCCTCGTGCAACAAATTTCTCTTCCATATTTGGCACATTTATATTATGAGCAATGCAAAAATGAGAAACTTCATAAGTAGATTATCACATTCATTATTTCTTATCGACAATATTCTTCTTTTCGACAAGTGAACCAAAGACATGGGATTTATAATATCTTGATCCTTCCTTTGCAATGCTTGTGAAAGTTCAAATGTGATTCCCAAAATGTTTTTCATCATGTGCAGGTTAGAAGCAAAATCAAAAGAAGTCATATAATCCACCAAATCACTTGTTTCAACTCTATTATCATAATTTTCAGTAAGATCCTCAAGTACTTCAATAACAGATGAAACCAATTAATCAAACTCAATAAAGTCGCTTCAAAGCTTGTTCCTCATTAAGAAGATCCCGACTTCTAGGTGACCATCCAACAATATTTATCACACAAGAAACTTTCAAAAAAAGTTTCAATATTTGTATCCTTTTTTGCCACAGCTACAAGTGTCAGTTGAAGTTGGTGAGCAAAGCAATGAACATAGAAAGCATATTCATTATCTTTCAATATAAGTGCTTTTAACCCATTAAACTGACCTTGCATATTACTTGCACTATCATAACCTTGTCCACGTAATCTTGATATACTCAAATTGTATTTAGAGAACAATGTTTTGATTCCCATCTTTAGTGACAAAGTAGTCGTATCTGTGACATGCATAATGCTCAATAGACACTCAACAACACATCCTTTTTTATTTACATAACGTAAGATAATTGCCATCTGCTCTTTGTTGGATCCATCACGAGCTTCATCAACTAATATAGAAAAAAAAAAAAAAAAAGCATTTCCAAGATCACTAATTAGTTTGTTGATGGTTTCAACTGCAAATGCAATGATTATGTCTTTTTGGGTACTAGGAGCAATCAATTTATCATGTCCAGAAGCATTCTCCAATGTTACTAATCTATATTCTTCATTTTGCTTAGCTATATAGTGTAAAAGTTTAAGAAAGTTTCCCCGATTCATTGAATTATTAGACTCATCATAGCCACGAAAAGGCAATCCTTGCCGAAGAAGAAGTCGACTAGCAAAAATTGATCCTTTCAACCAAATACGATAATCTTCTCGTTGTTGGTCAGATTTCTTATTAATAATTGTACTCACATGTTGCTTTTGGTTCATCAAAGCTTGACAATTTTTCAAAGCTTGGTTATGATAGCTGTTAGGACCTCCAATACGATATTTAAATTTTTCGAATCTCTTCCAATTGCGAAGCCCATCAAGAACAGAAGAATCACCGCCACTTTGCTCACCTTTATCTGGTTTGAAAAGATAACTACATAAACAATATGTAGCATCATTCTCAACACTATATTCCAACCAATAGGGATATTTGTCAAACCAAGAATGTTGGAAACTCCGTTCATGATCACCAGATTTTGATTTGGGAAACTTATGGTTGCGAGGTTGACAAGGACCCTTTTGTAAATAACGCATTCTGACTTGGTCTCGAACATTAGGATGATCTAATTATTAATTATGCCAAAGTTGACTCAACTTTGAGACATGAAGCTTTACCGAATGAGCCACTGATTTTTGGGTGTGGATTGCTGATGCTTCCAATCCAAGTCCTAGTTAGTAAATACAGGTACGGCAAAAAAACAATATGAAATTTTTACGGGTATAATACGGCAAACGGTGAAAAATACGCTTATAAAAATTTGGTCATAAAATTCGGATACGAGAAAAATACGGTACGGGTATATACAGGTTTAATATGGTGCATTGTCAATAATACGTTTTGAAAAATACAGCAATATCAATCAGAGTTTTAATACTTTTATGGATTACTTGGCTAAAATCAATATAGTATTTCAAATACAAAGTATTCAATTAACCATAACACAAATATACAATATATAACTGATATTCAAATTATAGTCTCAGATTCAAACACAATATTTAGCCATGATTCTTTATTACTAATTTAAAACTTGATAAGTTTGATATTAAATGCAACCAATTTTAACTTCCCATTAATCCATTAAATTATATTAAATCAAGAACTAAAATTTTGTCTCACAAATCTATATAAAAGATTAGTGTTACAATAGTCTAACTATTATTTTATACCTATAATATATAACAGTTTTTTTTTTCACAATAAATTATTATTTTAATATCATTAATCCAATCTAATTTATTAGATAGCACAAAAATAATTTAAGAATATAAAATGATTTTGTATGTGTTTTGATTTTAAAATGTAAAGGTGTGGGGGAATGGGCGCGAAAATGGATGTTATTTTGAGTTTTGAACTTTTTGAGAGGGCTATTTTATTCCCTTCCACCCTCCCCCCCTTTTTCCAATCTCTTCCCTTACGCCTTATCCACTGATTACTTCTTCCCCCACTAAAACGACGTCGTTTCAGTCAGTTTTTTTTTTTCTTTTTTCTTTTTTTTTTGTAATAATTCGTGAACATTTTACAGCCACTCTCTCTTTAATACAACACAACACAACTCAACTCAACTCAACAGAAAGATGAGTAGTTTGAAGTCGGAGTTCTTGGATACGGACGTTTCTCGCCAATGGGTCGAACGTGTAAGCCCCATTCAACTTCTTTCTCTTGGTTTTTTTGTTTTCTGTTGGTTTGCTTGTGTTTTGTTGGTTGTGATGATGAATGTTTTTGGCGTAATGGGTTTGGTTGGTGGGGTTTTATTGGTGTTTATTTTGATGTGTTTCAGCCGGTTAGAGATTGGTTTTAATGGCTGTAAAATATTTATTGGTTATTTTATTCCCCCCTCCCCCCTTTTCCAATCTCTTCCTTTGCGCCTTACCCATTGATTTCTTCTTCCCCCACTAAAACGACATCGTTTCAATAAGTTTTTTTTCTTTTTTGCGAATAATACGCGAATTATTCGTGAATTATACGGATACTCCAATAATTCGCAAATAATTCGGCAGCCCTTTGTAAAATACGTAAATACGCGTTTTATACTCATATTTACTAACTAGGATCCAGGTACCATAATGACAACTTCCACAAAGACCAAGAAGAGGTAAGGAAATGATTTTTAGCCCCTATTAATTTTATTAGTAACCCGGTCTTCTATTTCAGCAAAGGCAAAAGTGGAATCTTAATTTATATTTAATTTTTACAACCCATATTTTACTTTTTTCATTAATTTGAAAGTTTCTTCCTAAAAAAAAAAAAAAAAAAAAAAAAAGAAACCTCATCAAATCTAAAAGAATCCATCAATTCAATAACTAAATAAAGATGATACAATAGAGGGAAGATTTATTTTAATTATATTATTATATTTCAAATAAAGAGTATTAAAAATATTTATAATCTTTAGAAGAAAATAACTTCTTTATAACTCACTGAAAGATAACAAATGAAGCATGACAACTATTTTCTCTAATTATTCATAAGGAGAGAATAATATAAAGTTTGCGTTCACCAATTATAAAAATAAAAAAGTGATTAATTTATTGCTAATTATTCACTGTTTAATTAATCAGCAATGTTAGGATGTAAAGTCAAAGGGTATTGTTTGTCACTTATCAAACCTGTGAGGACTTGTTGTAATTGTGTTGAAAACGGTGTAGTTTTGCTTACAACCGTATTTAGTCAGCTATTCAATTGTTTTCACTTTACTCTTTACATATAAAAGAGTAAAGTGAGCTGACTTAGCAAATAATGAAATTAGTAGCTCCTACTTGACATTTACCTCTGTTTTTCGTTCTAGAAATCTTCCAATCCTTGCTCTTTTACATGGTATCTGAGCTGTGACTAGTGTCGATGGCTAAAACTCATGGTTCGACCTCAATTCCTCTGCCTAATAGCCTTGAGGAAATGCTAAAGGAAGCTTTAAATTGATCCACATATGTGATTGCTTCAAACCTACCGGTGATCAGTCCAGAACTCACTCGGGATAATTACAGATTTTGGAGTTCCAAGTTCTCTTTGCTGTAGGTTCGTACGAAATCGAAGACCACTTGCTTGGTAAAATTTCTTGTCCTTCACCTTTAGTTTTGTCTGATTTAAATGTTGATAATGAATTGAGTCAACTGAGTGGAGAACTTAGGGTTAAGAATGATTCTATCAAAGACAAAATTAATCCAAATTACATAATATGGAAGAGAACAGATAAGTTCCTGGTTAGTTGGCTGTTAGCTTCAATATCAGAAAGTATGTTTGGTACTGTATCGAAGTGTAGGTATTCTAAGTAGATATTTGGAGAGTTTTAGAGCATGAATTTGATATAGGCTCAAAGGCTAGGGCATTGCATCTTAAGAATCTGTTACAGACAACTCAAAAGGGCAATCTGAGCATTTTTGAATATATCAAAAAGATGAAAGAAATTAGCTAGAGTTTATCTGCTAGTGGTATGATCATTTCTGATGAAGATTTGTTACAATATGTTTTGGATGGTTTAGGTCCTGAATATGATCCTGTGGTGGTAAATCTTACATCTAGGCTTGAATTGAAAATAGACTCGATTACACTCCAAAAAGCACAATCTTTGCTTCAAAAATATGAAATTAGATTAGACAAGTTTAATTCAATTGACTTGTAAAATAGTTCAGCTCATATTGCAACTACAAATAACATTGGAAGTGGAAATTTGGGAAGTTCTAGAGAGTCACCCAACATCAGCTCTTTACAAGGACTAAATAATGACAAAACCTATGGAGTTATTACTGGGAACTACAGCTCTGTACCATCTCTAAATTCTCTAGGAAATCCCCATGTTCAATAGCCATATCCACTGCCATCGAACAACTTTCCTACTAGTTCAAATACTCAACATTTTGCCTACAACAATACTCCCATGTTTACTCCTAGATGGACTGGTTTTGTTCCATATGGAAGAGGAAAAGGTCGTGGTAATAATTGAAATAGACTGATCTGCCAACTTTGTAACAAAACAGGTCACTCAGCTGCTCAATGTTACCACAGATTTAATTCTGCCTACAATGGCAATCTGCACCAGTTTTTTGGACCTTTACAGTTTCCTAGTTCGCTTCCCCATCAGCCTCATAACACAAATAATAGCCCAAACATTGCTCAGTATCCATATGCTTCTGCTCTTACTCTGAAGCAAATGTCTCCAACTAGTCAACCACAATTTAGTCCTCATCTTGGACAGTCTAGTTTTGCTTCTGGTTATAGTGGTTTCTCACAAGAACAAATTAATATATCACACAATATGCCCTCTCCAATATCTATTTTTGAACCACCTAACCAACAATCTACTAGTCCTGGTCACAATCAAGCATTTATAGCTGCTGTTTCTACTAGTGCAAACCATAATTCCTAGCTTGTATATGCCACTTAGTTTACCCTTACTGACCCCACATGGTATATGGACTCTGGAGCCACTGATCATGTAGCTTCAAACCTGAGTCAGTTGCAAATTAGTAAGGAATATGGTGGTGGAGCCAACTTCAAGTGGGAAATGGTGAGCACCTGGATATCACTCACACTAGTAACACATTCTTACCTAGTATGTTTCATTCTAAATGTTTACACCTTAAAAATATCTTGTGTGTTCCTAAAATAAAATAAAATCTGCTCAGTATTTCTAGGTTCACTAAGGACAATAATGTAATTATTGAGTTTGATGCTGAGTGTTGTGTTGTCAAGGACCAATTAACCAGAGTAACATTACTGCAAGGGGATCTTAAAGGTGGCATGTATCAACTGCGTATTCCTCATTCCATTTCTCAATCAAAATCTGTTTCCATTCCATCACCTGTTTTTCAACATCCTGGTTCAAATAGTTACAGCTTTCATTGCAAAAGAACTATTAATAATGACTTACAGTCAAGTTGTCAAGGTAGTTTTAGTGTTCCAAAAGCTATCAATTCTGGTTCAAATGTTACTACAACACTTTATGATTCTACTTCAAAGGTTGTTCCCTTGAAATATGATGTTCATGATAACATGTCTTCTGCACAATGTACTACCTTACCTATAAATAAAAGTGACAACTTTGATTCTACTTGAAAATGTCCTGTTTTACCTATTATTCAAACTAGAAATTCTGATATGATTGCTGATTTGCCTACTTCTAAGTTAATAAAAGTTGCTGAAAATACTATGAATGCTTTGCCATACAAGAACTTATCTAGTTCACATGCTTCATACTTCACTATAAACACAAATGCTCAACATCATTTAACATGGCATAGAAGGTTGGGACACCCTCACTCTAGTGTCATTAATAAGTTGCATAAATTTAATGTTTTTAGGTTTGTTTTTATAGCCTTCTAGTTAATTTCTCATTTTTTTTCTGTGTTTTGATGTTAGTTTTTGTTAAGTTTGAAATATGAATGGTTAGCTATTGATTTGGAGAATTTTTGTAATTTTCAGGCATTAATTGAGTAGATTGGAGCATTGGAATGAAATTGGAATTCAAAGCTTGAAGAAATTGAGATTAGCTAACAAGTTTGAAGGCCATGGCCTTGCCTTGGTGGTTCACCACGGC